CAAGCCATATTTTAGAATGGTTTCAAATTTAAAATATTTGTAGAGAAGCATACTAAAAGAATTTAGTCCTCTCTTCTAATGGCCTTTCCTTACAGATTCATTAACACATTTTAAATGTAATTATTTAAAATACTTCACCTATTTAACATGCACTTTTAAAACATTGCCATTTAACAGCATTTACTTTACAATTAAATATAAGAAATATATGCATTAAACTGTTTCTCCTACATTCTGAAGTGTCAGTTTTCTTTAAAAGCATTTTCGGAGGGCAGATGCCTAGAATGCTGTTGTAGAACTATATTGTTTATAATCTATCTTGAGAGTATAGGTGCTGTTTTTACATTGTCTCAACTCTGTTTATTCAAGCTTTTTAAGTCAGCATTTCAAAGAATGACACTGGAATTTTCTTTTTCACAAAGTCCCCTTGTAGAGGACATGTACCTGTGTGTAGAGAAGAGTGAGGCCTCCTCTTGGCACCAAGCCCATGTCAATCTAGCAGTTTGGCCATTTTTTCATGGTGCCGTATTCCTTTGAAAATTAGAAAGGGGGAAAAAAACCTATCCTCTGCTTTTTTGAGTCTGCCAAGGAATGAAATACTTTGATCCTTCAACTTACATTAGAGTACTTCTCTCAGGTAACAAGGTAATGACAAAACACATTTAATTTCTTCTCCCTCCTTATAAACACTGAATTTTTTTAAGGAAAAATATCTGAAGACATACTGTGAGCTTTTTTATTAAAAAGAAGTACACCTGCTCCAAAGTAAAAACAACCAAAAAGTTGGTAATGCACAAAATTATAAGTCATTTAAAATATGTACCTGAAGTTACTTGTAACTAAAACGTTGAATTACCTAGATATAAAGTCCTTACCTGCCTTACTGTGAACTTGGGCCCTGAGTCTATGTGTTACTTGATTGGGAGCCAGTAAGGCAAATCCTCTGCCATCACCCTCTGCAGGCTTTTTTCCTCATGTCTGGGCTACCATATTGGCCTTATTTCCCATTGCTTCTTCCACATAGACGTTATTTCACTTTTCAATTTTTGTATTTTTTATTTAGGTTTCAGATTCAGCTTCATCTGTTATCCCACACCTCTTAATTAAAATTTTCATCCTTTTTTTTTTCTTTTTTTTTTTTATTTTTTTTTTTATAAACATATAATATATTTTTATCCCCAGGGGTACAGGTCTGTGAATCGCCAGGTTTACACGCTTCACAGCACTCACCATAGCACATACCCTCCCCAATGTCCATAATCCCACCCCCCTTCATCCATATTTTTGAAGACCATTTTTAGAATTACTTCCTCTAGGACATCTCTGATCATCTAAACTCTAGAAATGATTTCACATATTTCTAAAATCTGTAACTTTTACTATCATTGTCTTTCAGTAGTGTTTGGCATTTTTTATAGACATTTTTATTCTGGCCTCCTGATGAAAGTATACAGCACCATCTATTAAGAATTCCTGCCATAAGGGTGCCCAGGTGCCTCAGTCGGTTAAGCATCTGCCTTCAGCCCGGGTCATAATCTATAGTCCTGGGATCAAGTGCTGTGTTGGGCTCCTTGCTCACTGGGGAGTATGCTTCTCCCTCTCCCTCTGCCTGCTGCTACCCCTGCTTGTGCTCTCTCTCCATCAAATAAATAAATAGAATCTTAAAAAAAAAAAAAAAAAAGAATTCATGCCAAAAGTCAAACCTGAATCTCAACACACCTCTGGATCTAAGTAACAGTTTATAGAAAACATAGAAGTTAGAGCAGCATGTAAAATGACACCAAGAAGATGCAGTTAGCAAAATATTCTAGACTTTAAGAAACTTTATAGGTCAAATGACCAGGCATCTTTAAAAATTAAGTTGGAAGGTGAGAGGGGAGGGTATCTGGGTGGCTCAGTTGGTTAAGCATCTGACTTGATCTCAGCTCAGGTCTTGATCTCAGGGTTGTGAATTCAGGCCCCATGTTGGGCTGTACACTGGACATAGAACCTTTTTTTTTTTTTTAAGGTAAAAAAATAAAGATTTAAGACACAGAACAAAAGAAAAATTTAAAACTTGTAAATCAAAGTACACTATGAAGAGAGTAAAAAGGCAACCCACAGGAAAGGAGAAAATATTTGCAAATCATATATAGGGGGTTAAAATCCAGTATATATAAAGAACTTCTATAACTCAACAAGGAAAAACAAACCAATTTTAAAATGGGCAAAGACTCAAATAGACATTTCTCCAAAGAAGATAGTTGACTAATTTCCATGTGAAAAGATGCCTGACATCATTAACCATTAGGGAAATGCAGATCAAAACCGTAGTGAGATACTTCTTAATACCATTATTATCGAGAAAAAAACAAGTGTTGGCAAGGATTTGAAGAAATTATAACTTCTGTGCACTGTTGGTGGGAATGTAAAATGGTGCCACCACTTTTGAAAAAAGTGCAGAGGTTCCTCAGATTAAGCATAGAATGATTGAGCAATTCCACCCTGGGTAAATACCCAAAAGAATTAAAAGCAGAGACTCAAACAGGTACTTGTACACCAATGTCTGTAGCAGCATTAATCACAATAGCCAATAGCTGGGTAGAAACAACCCAGATGTCCATCAGCAGATGGATGGATAAACAAAATGTAGTATATACATATAGTAGAATATTTTTCAACCTTACAAAGGAATGGAATTTTGACACATGCTACAATGTGGATGAACCTTGAAGACACTATGCTAAGTGAAATAAGCCAGACACAAAAGCACAAATACTGTATGATTCCATTTATATGAGGTCCCTAGAGTAGGCAGTTTCATAGTGACAGAAAACAGGTTACAGGGGTTGGAGGCAGTAAAGAATGGAGTTAGTGTTTCATGGTTGTGGGGTTTCAATTTTTGATGATTAAAAAGTTCTGATAATGGTTGCAAAACACTGAATACTTAATGCCACTACTCTGCACATTTAAAAATGGCTAAAATGGTAAAGTTTTTGTTATGTGTATTTTGCCACAATAAAAAAAAAAAAAAAGTGACTTGAGAACCTCTGACCAAGTGCAATGCAAGGAACTTTTTTGAATCCTGATTTGAGCACACTTGAAAAAAAATTTTTCTGAAACAGACATTTGTAAAAGTAATGTGAGTTTGATGATATTGAGGAATTATTGATAATTTTTTAGGTGTGCCAAATATATTTTGGGGAGGGAACAGTCTTTTTAGAGATACAGCTTGAATTTTCTACTATGAAATAATATATTGAGATTTGTTTCAAAATAATCTGATGGGGGTGGGGGAGTGGTTCCTGGATGACTCAGTCTGTCAGATGTCTTAACTTCAGCTCAGGTCATGATCACGAGGTCCTGAAATAGAGCCCTGAGTTGGGCTTATGCTCAGCATGGAGTCTGCTTCTCCTCCCTCTGCCCGTCTGCTCCATTGTGCATGTTCACAGTATCTCTCTCTCTCTCTCAAATAAGTAAAATCTTTTAAAAAAAAATCCAGTGGGAAGTGGGGTGAAGGGAGTGAAAAGAGATACAGATAAAACAAGATCTGCCATGAGTTAATTACTGAAGTTGATCTGTGTAATATAGTTATTATATTCTCTCTACTTTTGTTTATCATTGAAGTTTTCCATGATGAAGATTTTTTAATTGTGTGTTTTGCTATTATATCAAACTTTTGATCCAGGGAGGAAATTATTTTTAGCTTATCAGGAAGCCATGATTTATAAGATATTGTTTCTGTGTTTATATTATATATTATATATTATATATTTATATTCTAGTCTTTTCATTGCAAGTACATAAAACCAGGCACTATCAATTTGAGCAAGAAAGGGGCAGATGTAGAGCTAGCTAGTGGCCAGACACAGAGCTAGCTTCAAGTTCAACTTAATTCAGGACTCAGACATCACCAGTATCCATCTTTCAGGCCTGCCAATTAAAGATTGGCTGAATTTTCAGGCCCTAAACACTGGCTGGCTGACAGTTCCAGGCACTCTCTCCATTGCCTCACATTCCTAAGTGAAACATTCTCAAATCATCAAAGCCCAGCGGGGATGGGGGAGGACAAAAAAAATAAATAAATAAAGTCAATGATTCAGCATTCTCATCAGAAATTCCACTCAGAGTGACCCAGCTTAGGTCAAGGCCTTCCCTGAACTAGTCCCTGCAGCCAGACTAATGGAACCTGCTCATTAGCTTGGGTCAGCCTTTTGCCTATCTCTCCACCAGTTCAGTTAGAGTACAATGATTGGCTTAGACCTGTCAGCATCTACCATCAAAGGTAAGGATGATTGTCCTACCAAAACTACATGTTTGAGAATGGGGAAGCAATTGTTTCCCGAAGGAAAATCAAGTTACTGCTGCAAAGATCTAATCTCATTTTAAATAATATAGTTTGACCTTTTGTATATTGAGATCTCTGTTACTCTACTGAATTTTTAAATTTGCTTTACTTGAGGTATTATTAATAGTGTAATTTGGGGAGAAATTGTGTGAAGTGCCATGCAAATAAAAACCTGTAGCGGATACCTGTTATTTGCTAGCCAACAGCCATTCCCCTTTTTTACTAGTAATGGTAACCTGATGAAAAAACATAGTATCTTTTTTAAGTACTAGTACTATACTTAACTCTCTATTATAGAAGTTTTCCACTGAACCAAAGTGAGATAAAGTAAAAAAAAAAAAAAATTTTTTTTCTTTCTTTCTCCCCTCCACCTTTTTTTGAGGTGGGGAGGGTAGAGGGGGAGAGAGAGAGAATCATAAGCGGGCTCCACGCCCAGTGCTAGATGCAGGAATCAGTGTCACGACCCTGAGATCATGAGCTGAGCAGAAATCAAGAGTCAGATGCTTAAGCAACTGAGGCACCCAGGTGCCCCAAAAAGTATGTGTTTTTAATTAGGTGAATTTTCCATATAGTATCTATATATGATTACTTCTAAACCTTCTAAAACTTACCTTCTGAGGGGAAAAAGAAAAAAAAAAAAAAACTTCTGATGTTTTTATTTTATCTCTTTCAGGACTAATTTCGTATACTGAGTATCTTTTCTTGCTTACAATTCTCACTAGTAAGTACCCCACAGTTTTTCTCAGTGATCATGTGGATTCTCTCTTCTTACCAAACAAGGTTTTGGAAGTATGGTATTTATGTCTTTATCATTGAAACATAATTGCTACCTTAGTTTCTATATCAACAAAATGATACTGTTGAATTAGTTTATCCCTCCAGCTTCCTTTGTACTGTGGCTCCCGATAACTCTGTCTCCTTAAAAGACTTTTGAACAGAAGAGAATCAGACTTAGCCTTCACATGTTTAAATAAAAACCCTTATCAGACATTCTTCAAAATTCCTGATCAGTACTCTTTCGATTGGTCATGAAAATCAAGGAAAGAATGAGAAACTTTCACAGGTTGGAGCAGAGTAAAGAGACCTAACAACTAAATGCAGCATGGTTTCTTGTATTTGATCGTAAAGTAAAAAAATTAGCATTAGTGGAAAAACTTGAAATCCAAATAAAGTCTATAGTTCAGTTTAAAATGCTATTACTAGTGTCCATTTCTTAGTTTTGACAATGATGCTGTAGATATAGATGTTAACATTAGAAGAAGCTGGCTGAAGGATATATGAGAACTCACTATACTATCTTAACAACATATCTAAACATATCTAAAATTATTTCAAAATAAAAATTTTTTTAAAAACCCTACTCTGAGAAAGGGAAATAAAGAGTAATAATCAGTATGAAAGTAGCCAAGTTACTAAAAGAATGTAGGAAAGCCCCTGATAGAGTTAAACAAGTTCTCAAGTTAGTTTTGCTTTGAAAAGTAGAGCACTTAATAGTAGAATAGCACAGCCATGAAAATACATCAGCCTTTGAAAATTGTTATAATAAGAAATCATTTTTTGTCTGTTTAGGCACTTGTATAATAATTTCTGGAAGTTTTTTTCAAATTTGAAGACCTATAGATCAGTAAGCAATTTACATTTCACCAACATTGAAATAACTATTTACTTTTCACTTAATTGCAGAACCCCATACTGGGTTTCATGTTGCTTTTAAAATGCTGGATGCAGATGGTAATGAGATGGTTGAGAAAAAGGAATTTTTTAAGGTAAGTACATTCTACTTAGTTTGTCATAAAACAGTTGGATGCTTGTGTAATCTTACATTTCCATAAAAATCAAAATTATATCCATTGCTTACATATGAAATGTCAAGAAATCATTTATACATTCAAAAGTGTTTAATTTTCCATAATACAACTGAGGAAACTGTTAAGGAACAGAGCATAAGATTCCTATGGGAGAAATGGCTTATGCATCTACATTTTTTAGGGTTTTATTTTATGATATCAGCAAATAATAGGGTCTCATAGATATGTTCAGAATTATTCTTATATTCCCTACCCCCAAAAAAGGAATAAGAAAAATTAACACTTAAGCCTTCATAAAGAATTGGGGGGTGGGGGCCCTGGGTGGCTCAGTCATTAGGTGTCTGCCTTTAGCTCAGGTCATGATTCCAGGGTCCTGGGATCAAGCCCCACATCCTTGCTCAGCGGGAGGCCTGCTTCTCCCTTTCCCACGCCCCCTGCTTGTGTTTCCTCTCTCACTGTGTGTCTGTCAAATAAATAAAATCTTTAAAAGAAAAAGAAAAGAATGGGGAAAAAATGAAAAAGCTACAAATAGGTATAAATGGGTGCAGATTTTCCAGGAATTTGCTAAGGCTATTATTTGAAAAGCTGAAAATATGTTTAAATGAAAATGTGTTTCCAAGATAAGTGTAAGGCATACAACTATTAAATTTCACTCCATTCCAGGAATGTTGATGGTAATATTTTTTAAAAAGTACCTCTAGGGGGCTCCTGGGTGGCTTAGTCATTAAGTGTCTGTCTTCAGCTCAGGTCATTGGGATCGAGCCCCACATCGGGCTCCCTGCTTGGCAGGAATCCTGCTTCTCCCTTTCGCACTCCCCCTGCTTGTGTTCTCTGTCTGTCAAATAACTAAGTAAAATCTTTTTTAAAAAGCCTCTGCATATAAACCGTTAGGTATTTTCCAGAGTTAAGTGTTTTTAATGTTTTGTGGAGAAAAAAATAGAACATGTAGATAAATATATAATACAGCGTTTGGTACATACTAATTTCTTAGAACTACCATTGATAATTACTGAGTACCTATATAAATGACTACTTTACAACTTTCTTTTTAATGACTTTTTTTTTTTTTAAGTGTTTGAGACATGAAGCAAATGGAACTCTCTTACAGTGCTTGTGGGAGTGTGAAATGGCATACACATTTTGGAAAACAAAATTGGCATCTTCTTGATGTATACTCAGCATATGACATGGCAATTCCAGTCCTATGTATTTAGTCAAAGAAAAGAAAACCCATGTTCACCCAAAGACCTGTATGTGACTATTCTTAACAATTTTATTCATAATAGCCCCAAATTGGAAACAACCTAAGTGTTCATCAAGTGACTAGATAAAGAAATTGTATCCATACAGTAGAGTACTACTCAGCAAAAAAAAGGAACAAATTACCAGTAAGTACAACAACATGGATAAATGAAGTGAAGGAAGAACTGTACATACAGTGTGATTCCTTTGATATGAAACTCTAGAAAAGAAACATATCTATGCTAACAGAAAGCAGATCATTGGTTCCCTGGGGCTGAGAGGGGGTAAGGAATTGACTACAGATGGACTGCAGCTTCCATGAGGTAATCTCTTGAAGTGCTAGGAATATTACAGACCTTGATTAGGATGGTAGAGACATGGGTGTATATATTTGTTACAATTCAAACTGTGTCTTTAAATAAGTGCATTTTATTGTATACAAGTCATACCTCAGTAAACACCTTTGATAAGGAGTCATTCTACAGGCTTTGCAAATTCAGTTACTGAGATATGTGGTTTTATATACAAGAAACTGTCTCAAAAACTACAAACAAAGGACACAGCGAAAGGTTCTAACTAGAGAATAAATTTATAAAACAGTGGGATCCAATAAAAAGTAGGCTTACTTAACATTATAGAAATTATCTGGAAGAGGGTATAAAGAATGTATAAATCTAAGCATTTGGGGGAAACTAGGGTAAATGACATGAACATCTATGTGAGTGGACAATAAAGTAGCAGATGCAGTTCTCAGTGTTTTAGCTTAAGGTGTAGTAGAACCTGTCTTGCCCGGTGTGGCCACTATCAGTAGTTCAGTTAATTTAAAGAATCTGTTAAAGGGGGAATAATTTTTAAAAATAAAGATACCTAAATAACAGACATTTTAATTAACTTAAATGCACATTCATTTTAGAACCAAGGCCTCTTTTTTGAAGATTTTATTTATTTATTTATTTATTTATTTATTTATTTGAGAGAAAGAGTGCATGCACACGTGCACAGAGGGAGAGCAAGAAGGAGAAGCAACTCCCCAATGAGCAGAGAGCCCAACGCAGGGTTCAGTCCCAGGACCCCAAGATTATGACCTGTGCCAAAGGCACATGCTTAACCAGCTGAGCCAACCAGGCATCCCAGAACCAAGGCCTTTTCTTTGAAGTGGAGCCACTGATTGAAATCACCTGTTTTTCTTGCCTGTGTATGCCTATAATTTATCATCTGCAGTTTCCAGTTTGTTTAAAGTGCAGGAAAAAATGTAAAGACAGGTATGAAGCAGTCTAAATGTAGGATCCTTCAAGATCTTTGTGATTTTTCCTACTCTTTACAGTCTTAGCCTAATTAGAAGCAACTTTTTTCTTTGGCAGTTCGCCTTAATAACGAAAACTCTAAAGTATTCCTCCTCCCTATTTTATCTCACACATACGTGCATGCACCCACACCCCTTCTGTGTTTAACCAAGGCTCATAAACTCAGAGAATCAAGCTGACTACCAAAATAGGAACAGGTGCAGGATATCCCATCATGGTTTTTTTGACATTGCAGTTTCTAATGGGATCTGGCAGCTGCAGGTGATACTGGCTCACGTACTTCAGAGTGTTGGGTTGGCAAATCTAAGAGACTAAATTTTATGCTTTGATATGTGGAGTTTATATTACCATTTAGAAAAAAGATTTACACAGTCTCTGTGCTTAATGCTTCCATTTCAGGCTTTTCTGATTTTTCACCAAATTTACTTGTCTTTGAAGCTACATTCTCACCTAAGCGAAAAAGGAAGACCAATGTCCCAGTGTCCCCGTGTAGTTAACTTCTCCTCCAGCAGAGCGCATGGGTGGCTCAGTCAGTTAAGTGTCTGCCTTTGCTCAGGTCTTGATACCAGGGCCCTGCTTCTCCATCTCCCTCTGCCACTCCCCCAACTTGTGTGCTCGCACAAATAAATAAATAAGATCTTTTAAAAAGCAAACTTCTCCAGCTTTCTGGTGTTTCCAGAAAACTCTGTTACTTCACAGTAATATTTAATAAAATTAAGTAATTATAGTAACAAGTGCAATGAGCATAATTGGTTTGGAAACAGAAAAGACTTAAACTAAACAAACATTGAGCTCAGCTGCTGAGCGCAGGAGTGTGCAAGCATACTTGAAATTTGCCAAGAGCTTTCTGTGAATATCTGTCATGGAGTTCTACAGGGGGAGCAGAGAGCATCAATTAATCTGCTGAATTGGTTATGTGGAAGCCAGTTAAGATTTTTTTTTTTTTAACCTTTTGTTTAAGGAAAAAGAACCCAGTATACAATCATAGGGAATTGAATTCTGGAATATTAGAAGGGAATGAGTTCAGCATAACCATAGACTAGCCTCAATATTTCAAATCAGTGTGTAGGTATAAAATTCTAGAAAGTATCCTAAAATACATAAAAAAATATACCCTCACATCAAAACAGATAAATTTGGATTTTTGTGTGGTTAGGGGCACTTCATGAAACACACTGAAGTGAAATAATAGGAGGTGAGGTTTTAAAAATAGGACTCATGGTGGGGTGCCTGGGTGGCAGTCAGTTAATTGTCCAACTCTTGGTTTCAGCTCAGGTCGCAATCTCAGTGTCACGGGATTGATCCCTGCATTGGGCTGTGTGCTCGCTCACTCGCTCTCTCAAATAAGTAAATGAATCTAAAAAAAAAAAAAAATGGGACTCATGGAAAGGCAAATACTATATGGTCTGTCTTTGTGTGAACTCTAACAAAAAACCAAGCTCATAGAAAAAGAGATCAGAGGGGCTCCTGGGTGGCTCAGTGGGTTAAAGCCTCTGCCTTTGGCTCAGTCATGTTCCCAGGGTCCTGGGATCGAGCCCGACATCGGGCTCTCTGCTCAGCGGAGAGTCTGCTTCCTCCTCTCTCTCTCTCTGTCTGCCTCTCTGCCTACTTGTGATCTCTGTCTGTCAAATAAATAAATAAAATCTTTAAAAAAAACCGAGATCAGATTTGTGGTTATCAGAGGCAGGGTTGGGGGGAATGGGAATGGGAGGAAGGTGGTCAAAAGGTACGAACTTCCAGTGAGAAGATAAATAAGTACTAGGAGTGTAATGTGCAGCATGACAACCATAGTTAACACTGTTGTGTGATGCATAGCAAAGTCATTAAAAGAGTAGCTCCTGGGATTCTCATAACAAGGAGGAAACATTTTTCCTTTTTTTGCTTTTCCTTTTTATTGCATGTGTATGAGATGATAGATATTATCTAAACTTACTGCATAATCATTTCTTTTTTTTTTTTTTTTAAAGATTTTATTTATTTATTTGACAGAGATCACAAGTAGACAGAGAGGCAGGCAGAGAGAGAGAGAGAGAGAGAGAGAGAGAAGCAGGCTCCCTGCCGAGCAGAGAGCCCGATGCGGGACTCGATCCCAGGACCCTGAGATCATGACCTGAGCCGAAGGCAGTGGCTTAACCCACTGAGCCACCCAGGCACCCCTGCATAATCATTTCTTAATAAGTCAAACCATCATGCTTGTACATCTTATGTCAGGTATATCCCAATGCAGCTGGATAAAGCTAGGACTTACGGACTATTAACATACTAGAAAGATTAATGATCAAAGTCTATAAAGTCATAAAATAACAGATTTTCCAACACAAACTAAAGAAGACATCTTGCTGAAACCTGTCATGACAGAAGTTAGAATTTATAGGAGTAACATTAATATGTACTTAGTTGGCAGTATCAGAC